AACAACAGGGCGCCTCAACCAGTTGAGATGCTTAAACCACAATGAGTGCGCCTTCAAACCAACGAGCGTCAAAACAAAGAGGGTTCAAACACAAGGGCGCCCAAAACCACAACCCTTCAAGAACTTTTTTTTTATCAACTGCATAACCGGCATTTGAATTGCATACCCGATTGTTTACTGTCAGTCAATGGAACAACGCAACTCTAAAGGTTACCACCGCCAACCGCGCAACTCGACTAGTTTTACTCCCATACACTGAATTGACTCAACAGTTGATTACATCATCATGGCAAAACTCTCTTCATCGTCTAACGCATATTTCTCCAACATTGACTCTTGCACTACGTTCTTTAATTCAACAATTCTCATTATTAAATGTCTAACGCCTTATGTTATAATACTTATTACTGCTCCCCATGTACAGCAATTCATTTTTAAGATAATTTATATAAATTTTCCTCATTTTGGATAATTAAATCCAAAATTTATGCAGCAGCAGGAGCAATTACCACCACAATTATCACAACCGAGCCACGTAAAGTATGATTTACCTATTCTATTCCTTCTATAATTAAGGCAATTTATAAATTACCAAAAATGGTCCAAGTGTCAAATCTTGTATAGTGGCATTATTTAGGTACGCATATTCAACTACACCTGATACCCAGCTACCAGTTACTTATCCACATTTAAAACTCTTCCAGATACACTTCTACTGAAAAACACGAGGGACACGGCTGTATATGTGGAAGTATGGAAACGAGAAGAGGGGACGGAAGACCAGAAGGGGGGGATAATTTAGGAAAGAGGGGGGAAAGGTAGTTTAGGAAATAGAGGGGGGGGGGAAGAGACGTCAGAGAGGGTAAAGGAAGGAGGTAAGAACGATTTGGAACCAATCTCTTGAAAAATTCAGGAGACTGGTCCCAAATTTGCACATCAATATTACCACCTACGAAAGTAAGAGGCTTTGCAGACGGTACAAAATGCCTGCACTGAAAATAACTACAAGTACACTAAAATATAGTAAATGGATCAAGGCTATTCAACACCCTGGCTTCATATACCGAGGAACTGACAGACCCTTGTCATCGAGAGAGGTTATTATGATGTTCCTCAAATTAGCTCATCAACCTCGCTATGGTGCCTACGTTGCATTACCTGGTTGATCAGGCTATCAACAAGGAGGCCTGGTCTGAGACCGGGCCGCCAGGGTAGTGGCTTCTGGAGTTGTCTTCAGGTTCAGGTTACCTACCTACTTGCCTACCAACCACAAAATCAATGGAGCTGCACCTGGAGGGTTGGTTGGTGGCCACCCCTCCGTACATATACCAAATAAAGACCTGTGTCCATTATTATGACTAACGTCAACACGGACTAGCCACCAGCTTCACACCTCGAATCACCAGGCAACATTTAATGGAGTGTTGTAAATAGTCTAGAAAACCGAGAAGTTGAACGAAATGTCTGTGCAACATTTAGGAATCTTTAGTGTGAAAACGTTTCGCCAGCCTGTGGCTTCGTCAGTCCAATAGAGAAGAACGATGGAAGATGAGGAATCTGAGTCTATCAGCCTCCAGAGTCTGTGTATTCAATCCACTTTTCTCAATACTGATGGACTGAACACATCGACTCAAGGCTGAGGGACTGATTATAATCAGTCCCTCAGCCTGATTATAATCAGTCCCTGGACTGAAGAAGCTACTGGCTGGCGAAACGTTTCCAGGTTTCGCCATAAGTCTCTCATTCCTTGCATATTGGTGTGCACACTGCTACGTACAACAGTGTCCACACTGATACGTACAACAGTGTCCACACTGATACGTACAACAGTGTCCACACTGATGCGTACAACGTGTCCACACTGCCACACACCAGAGTACGCACAAAAAAATGTCACGTATACAAACAGCGTGTGGGGAATGGGAAGAAATCAGCGTGATCCAAGACGGCGGTAGCTTCAACTACCTACATGGAGAGACTTCACTGCGCCAGGAACCTTCCTGCCTCACTCAGTATTACTGTAGATAGGTGGTAGACAGAAGGTGATGCTGGTACAAACTCCTCACCTGGCTACGTGATCAACTATCCTCCCAACAGAAAAATGGGACGCAACAAGCGCCTCAGCCAAGTGCCAGATCAACCAGGCTGTGATGGATACGTGGGCCAGCAGACCGCCAACAGCAACAGTCTGGTTGACCAGGCAAGCACCAACACGCCTGTCCCATGGCCGGACTATGGGAATAAGTAAACTCGAAACCTGTCACAGGCATATATATCAACACTCCCTTCTTAGTACGTACTACATTAGGGAAATTAACAATCTACTGGTGATCCCTTTACCCTCATTTACAAATTACTTCCCCTTATTTACAAATTACTTCCCCTTATTTACAAATTACTTCCCCTTATTTACAAATTACTTCCCCTTATTTACAAATTACTTCCCCTTATTTACAAATTACTTCCCCTTATTTACAAATTTTCCCCCATTTTTGGGTAGAGTTATTATTTAGACTTTCAGTATACAAGTAATTTGAAATGCCTAATTGTATTTTCAAAAATTATATATTATTAGAACTTAAGTTACATAGGGTTGTGATGCATACTTTCGACTGTTACTACTACAAACAGCCTGACTGATCAAGCCAGCAACCAATAGACCAAGCCTGGGTCCAGGCCGCAGGGACAGTGACCCCAGAAATGATCACAGTCACTATGCTAAAACGTTATGAGTAAGATTTCTCAATGTTTAACGGTCTGCTGTTACATCGACAGTACATACTTCATTAAGACAATTTTGAACGTACTGTGTAACGCAATACACAGTTATTGATGGAGGTTAGTTGCAAGTACTTCTGGCAGTCTGACAGACAATGCTCAAACTAAATGCAAATAATGTGATCAGCCTTAAAGTCACTTTCTTGAACACTGTTCCTGACTGTTCACCTTTTTAAAAAATGTAATGATAGACAGCACAACAGTGATACGTCAAGGTATCTTATTCAATACAAAGATATTTTGAACAAGCATCCAAAATTTATTTTAACACATTAAATATAAATTATGAATATATACCGAGACGAGCTCCTGTTAACCCTTACGGAGCAGTTCCTGCTCTCTTCGTATTCGGCTGCGGTACCAGAGAGGATGGATGTGGGATGCGAAATAAATAGCCGGTTAACAGTGATTACATTAATCTAACCTATAATAACGTAAACAAAAATGATCTTAACACAAAAAAAAAACTGTCTTAGGAAAGACTGAAGTAACAGTTGGTAGGGGGTGAGGTAAGTAGCAACACGTTACCTTGCTGGCTCCACCTCCAAGGTCTGCCCAACCCCAGCGGCCACACACTCACCACAGGCGTCCACAGATGACCCTTAGCAAGGTAATCGAAGAATAAATACCACCAACACAACTAAACTTACAACTCAATAACACCAGAAAGTCTACATATCCCACTATTACCTTACTGTAAGTTGCACTAAAATTTTAATAATATATTTGTCAGTTAATTTAAAACTTACGTAACTTGCCCTTGAACTTTTTAAGTACGCCAAATTAATTTTTAAATGTGAACGATTTTTTTTATAGTATCAATAACAGAACTCCTGTAGTGCTCTTTCAGCTAGCCAAGGTCAGGATAGAGAAGATAAATAGGTGAGGATCAATATGAGGTGAATGCATCATCTATGAAGGACTGCCATCTTAACCAACATGCATGACTGAAATTTATGGAATCCTAAAGGAGTAATATTGATCCGTGTTTAAACCGGTGGGTCCAGATTCTGATATTTTGTGTGAATCTGTTCTCTCCCATTTATATAAGTATTCAAATTTTAACACATTCAATTCTACAAACTTTAAAGTACCTAACATGGAATTAAATGTACAATGAACATTTTTTTAAATCTGTGATAGCACTTAGAAGACCATAAGAACTGCAACGACGAATCTACATAAAAAAACTATATTTTCTGAAGTGCTAAACCCGTGCAGGAAGTAGGAAAACAAAGGGATAAAAATCTAGAGACCGGTTAAGCTCTCATTCATTAAATATTTACGAAGATGTTAAGAAGTCAACGGTGCAGTTTATCCTGAAGATTGAGTTTATTAGGCAGCGCCACTCATCCTGAGTGAATATACCGCCATAAAAATCTGTTTAAACTCAAAATTTCTTACTGTTTAGAATATCAACTCCATCTACATAAATTAACATCATATATATAAAAATCCTGCATTTTTTATGCAAAAAGATACGAGCTTTAATTAGAATGGGCTTATAGTGGTCATACCAGTTAACAATGAATTCTATATTACTGTACTCTGCTACATTCTAAAATACATTGCCAGTGTGTTTACAACCCCTTCGCACAGTACACTACACTATCTTCGTCCCATCTTGGATTTGCAACACCAACTTTCCAAATAATAACGAGCTCTGGTATCCAGGGCAACAGAGTTGAAGCACAGGAAGAAACTGATTGTTCTTGATCATTACAACAGAATCAGAAAGGTGAGTAAAGAATCAGAATGCGAATAGTCTATATTTATCATGAAGTTATTTTTTATATAGACATTGCCTTTTCGGTAGTTTAAAAAAATCTAAGACTACCGAAGTCTCCTAGCTCAAGGTAATAGACTGAATTACTTGTATTTGAAATTCCTGTGAAAAAATTTGAGGGAAGCGCAGCTAGCTTTTGTTCCTACAATGTAGCTAGCTTGTGAGACAGTATGACAGAAGTATGGCTAACCTTAGCTCCTACAATGCAACTATCTTGTGTGATCGAGCGTGACAGTGAAAAATATAGCTTTTGTTCCCGCATGTAACTAGTATGACAGAAGTATAGTTAGCCTTTGCTTCTACATCTTGCGTGATGGAGCGAGTGAAAAATCTAGCTTTTGTTCCCGCATGTAAATATACAATAGCTTAGCACAGCCGGTACATACAAATTTAAATCAAGCGACGAATTTATTGGAATTAAGTGGTATTAACTTACTGTGAGAGGCGAGCCACTCCTCATAGCCCAGCCCCGGAGGTAGTTCTACAAGCTGACGCAGGTCAGTCTCTGGTATCTTGCGCTCCAGCACCGCCTCCTCCAGGTATAGCTTGTGTTCCTGCTCTGTTGATGCGGGACACTCCCGGTCCTTTCGCCGAGCCTTCCTGCAATACAAATATTTTCATTTTACTGTCCATACCAGGAACAGTCTTGCAACATTTCAAGTGCTGCTATCCACAACACTAGTACAGTCCTGTTGCTATCCTTCACACCAATACAGTCCTGTTACTATCCTTCACACCAACACACTGTCCTGTTACTATCCTTCACACCAACACACTGTCCTGTTACTATTCTTCACACCAACACACTGTCCTGTTACTATCCTTCACACCAACACACTGTCCTGTTACTATCCTTCACACCAACACACTGTCCTGTTACTATCCTTCACACCAACACACTGTCCTGTTACTATCCTTCACACCAACACACTGTCCTGTTACTATCCGTCACACCAACACACTGTCCTGTTACTATCCGTCACACCAACACACTGTCCTGTTACTATCCTTCACACCAACACACTGTCCTGTTACTATCCTTCACACCAACACACTGTCCTGTTACTATCCTTCACACCAACACACTGTCCTGTTACTACTCTTCACACCAACACACTGTCCTGTTACTATCCTTGCAACATTTCGTGCTATCCACAACACTAGTAGTGTCCTGTTACTATCCTTCACCAGAAACATGCTGGCTAGCCTCCTGCATTTCAAACAACCATCTCCAAGATAAATCATACACATTACACTAGCACCATACGACCCAATTTCTTTGCCTAACTCAAAACTGCTTGTTATATGCTTACGACCGGTCTATAAAGCGCACACATTCCCGTACTGACAGCGTAAAATTAAAGAAAAGGTTAAAAGTAGCGGTAGACAACCATTCACAAGTAGTCAAGTGGCAGACTAATATAAATTACAATTACATTGGTGCAGTTAATGATCAAATGCAATTTAGTGGTAAAATTATTGATAGTCAACTGGAAGCTGAGTAGCAAGACTGATAGTTAAATATAGTGGTAAACTTAATTATGGTCAAGATGTAGTTGTGGTAGATTTAAAAGATAGTCATGTAAGAGTAAATGAAGGTGTTCATAATGGTCAGACCTGGAGCACATAGCAGCGAGGACCAGATGCAGGGAATGGGCGAAGAGTTTGAGGAATCCCTCCAATTTGGTTGGCACTGCCACCACCAGCGAAGAGAGTGGGCCACCCACCAGCCCACCACACATGTTGTCACTACCGTGGGCGGCTGCGGCGGTGGGCGGAACGTGGGTGACGGAGGGCCCCAACACACTGCCTTCGTAGTACCGATAGAAGGCGCCCGCGTCTATAGTATGGGCGTGGGTGGGCGGGGCGGAGGCAGAGCGTGGTATGTTGTGGCATTTGGGTATATCTTGAAGTTTGAGGAGGTTGGCCACTAGAGAAGGGCGCCGCGCCCGCGTGGATTTGACTACGAGCGCGGTGTCTGAGGGCGTGGGCGTGTGATAAGGCCATCCCACGCCCGTTGTGTCTGCTGGAAGGGACCAGGGGGCATCGTGGGCCGTGTGCCAGGGGATAGTACCAGGGTTGGCCCACACCTGGCCAGAAAGCGACCCTCGGGGGGAGCAGGTCGAGTGCCAACTGCAAGATGACGAACAGGTGGAGGCTGATGCCCACGACCCCCACGACCCAGCTGGGAGATCCCCCGGAGGCACTGCCATGCCCATCATGCTTTGTCTCACCTGGCACTGCTGTGTCTGGCACTGCCGCTGCTGCGACCACTGGAGGGGTGGTGGTCCGCTGACCCTCTCATCACTGCCCACTAACAACCCCAAGTGCGAGTCACAGAGGCATAGAGCCGGGCACTGCTGCCTCCCCGCGGTGACACCAACAGCGCCACCAGCAGTGCCAGCAGCAGCAGTAGCAGCAGTGCCAGCACCAACAGGCAGTTTGATCACCAGTGCAGCACCACACACAGGTCACTGCCACCTGTTGTACTAACACGTCAAACTGTCACTCCTAATACAACCTTGTTCGTCAAGGTTCCCACAGCTATCACACTTGACTATTTTATCACAAACACTAGTTTACCACCTCCTAGTGTTTACTCTCACTGTAGTTTGCTTCACTGTTAGATATCCTTATTTATGTACTTTTCACAGCTACAAATATCAATCACAAATTTCTGTAACACCAGTAAATATGAGGTGCTGAAGTTAAAGATCCGTCAGGCTAAGGCGAGGTAATGATCCGTCGGGTTAGACGAGGACCTGAAGTAATGATCCGTTTGGAGCAGGAAAGTCACTTAAGCGAGACGAGTCAACGAGATGGCGCGTACATCCACAACGACGGTCGCTGACACACTGAACACCTCACCTACTGCCTTTCCCTGAGTGGCCTCCACACCCAGGGTCACCCACACCCTCCTCTATCCCCCTCCCTCCACACTTGATCCACTACCACCCACACCCTGCTCCCCCACCAACTGATCCACTACCACCCACACCCTGCTCCCCCACCAACTGATCCCTACCACCCACACCCTGCTCCCCCACCAACTGATCCACTACCACCCACACCCTGCTCCCCCACATGAATCCACTACCACCCACACCCTTCTCCCCCACACTTGATCCACTACCACCCACACCCTGCTCCCCCACCAATGATCCACTACCACCCACACCCTGCTCCCCCACCAACTGATCCACTACCACCCACACCCTTCTCCCCACCAACTGATCCACTACCACCACACCCTGCTCCCCCCACACTGATCCACTACCACCCACACCCTGCTCCCCACCAAATGATCCACTACCACCCACACCCTGCTCCCCACCAATGATCCACTACCACCCACACCCTGCTCCCCACCAAATGATCCACTACCACCCACACCCTGCTCCCCCCACACTTGATCCACTACCACCCACACCCTGCTTCCCCACACTCGATCCACTACCACCCACACCCTGCTCCCCCACCAACTGATCCACTACCACCCACACCCTGCTCCCCACCAACTGATCCACTACCACCCACACCCTGCTCCCCACCAACTGATCCACTACCACCCACACCCTGCTCCCCCACACTTGATCCACTACCACCCACACCCTGTTCCCCCACACTTGATCCACTACCACCCACACCCTGCTCCCCCACACTTGATCCACTACCATCCACACCCTGCTCCCCACCAACTAATCCACTACCACCCACACCCTGCTCCCCCACCAACTAATCCACTACCACCCATACCCTGCTCCCCCACCAACTAATCCACTACCACCCACACCCTGCTCCCCCACCAACTGATCCACTACCACCCACACCCTGCTCCCCCACACTTGATCCACTACCACCCACACCCTGCTCCCCACCAACTGATCCACTACCACCCACACCCTGCCCCCCACACTTGATCCACTACCACCCACACCCTGCTCCTCACCAAATGATCCACTACCACCCACACCCTGCTCCCCCCACACTTGATCCACTACCACCCACCCCTGCTCCCCACCAAATGATCCACTACCACCCACACCCTGCTCCCCACACTTGATCCACTACCACCCACACCCTGCTCCCCACCAAATGATCCACTACCACCCACACCCTGCTCCCCCACACTTGATCCACTACCACCCACACCCCTGCTCCCCACCAAATGATCCACTACCACCCACACCCTGCTCCCCCACACTTGATCCACTACCGCCCACACCCTGCTCCCCCACCAACTGATCCACTACCACACCTGCTCCCCCACACTTGATCCACTAGCACCCACACCCTGCTCCCCACCAACTGATCCACTACCACCCACACCCTGCTCCCCACCAACTGATCCACTACCACCCACACCCTGCTCCCCACCAACTGATCCACTACCACCCACACCCTGCTCCCCCACACTTGATCCACTACCACCCACACCCCTGCTCCCCACCAAATGATCCACTACCACCCACACCCTGCTCCCCCACACTTGATCCACTACCACCCACACCCTGCTCCCCACCAAATGATCCACTACCACCCACACCCTGCTCCCCCACACTTGATCCACTACCACCCACACCCTGCTCCCCACCAAATGATCCACTACCACCCACACCCTGCTCCCCACACTTGATCCACTACCACCCACACCCTGCTCCCCACCAAATGATCCACTACCACCCACACCCTGCTCCCCCACACTTGATCCACTACCACCCACACCCTGCTCCCCCACCAACTGATCCACTACCACACCCTGCTCCCCCACACTTGATCCACTACACCACCCACACCCTGCTCCCACCAACTGATCCACTACCACCCACACCCTGCTCCCCCACCAACTGATCCACTACCACCCACACCCTGCTCCCCACCAACTGATCCACTACCACCCACACCCTGCTCCCCACCAACTGATCCACTACCACCCACACCCTGCTCCCCATCAACTGATCCACTACCACCCACACCCTGCTCCCCACCAACTGATCCACTACCACCCACACCCTGCTCCCCAACACTTGATTCACTACCACCCACACCCTGCTCCCCCACCAACTGATCCACTACCACCCACATCCTGCTCGCCCACACTTGATCCACTACCACCCACACCCTGCTCCCCCACACTTGATCCACTACCACCCACACCCTAATCCCCCACACTTGATCCACTACCACCCACACCCTGCTCCCCACCAACTGATGCACTACCACCCACACCCTGCTCCCCCACCAACTGATCCACTACCACCCACACCCTGCTCCCCCACACTTGATCCACTACTACCCACATCCGCTCCCCCACACTTGATCCACTACCACCCACATCCTGCTCCCCCACACTTGATCCACTACCACCCACACCCTGCACCCCCACACTTGATCCACTACCACCCACATCCTGCTCCCCCACACTTGATCCACTACTACCCACACCCTGCTCCCCACCAACAGATCCACTACCACCCACACCCTGTTCCCCCACCAACTGATCCACTACCACCCCACACCCTGTTCCCCCACCAACTGATCCACTACCACCATTCTCAGTAGTAGTTTCGAATCCTGCTGACTGCGTTTATATATATATATATATATATATAATATATATATATATATATATATATATATATAATATATATATATATATATTACCTGGAGTTTACCTGGAGAGAGTTCCGGGGTCAACGCCCCCGTCGGCCCGGTCTGTGACCAGGCCTCCTGGTGGATCAGAGCCTGACCAACCAGGCTGTTGCTGCTGGTTGCACGCAAACCAACGTACGAGCCACAGCCCGGCTGGTCAGGAACCGACTTTAGGTGCTTGTCCAGTGCCAGCTTGAAGACTGCCAGGGGTCTGTTGGTAATCCCCCTTATGTATGCTGGGAGGCAGTTGAACAGTCTCGGGCCCCTGACACTTATTGTATGGTCTCTTAACGTGCTAGTGACACCCCTGCTTTTCATTGGGGGGATGTTGCATCGTCTGCCAAGTCTTTTGCTTTCGTAGTGAGTGATTTTCGTGTGCAAGTTCGGTATTAGTCCCTCTAGGATTTTCCAGGTGTATATAATCATGTATCTCTCCGGCCTGCCTTCCAGGGAATACAGTTTTAGGAACCTCAAGCGCTCCCAGTAATTGAGGTGTTTTATCTCCGTTATGCGCGCCGTGAAGGTTCTCTGTACATTTTCTAGGTCAGCAATTTCACCTGCCTTGAAAGGTGCTGTAAGTGTGCAGCAATATTCCAGCCTAATATATATATATATATATATATATATATATATATATATATATATATATATATATATATATATATATATATATATATATATATATATATATATATGTCGTGCTGAATATGTAAAACTGGTCAATTAGCAAGGACTCATTTAAAATTAAGTCATTTCTGAAATTTTCTCTTATACATTTAAAGATATTTTTTTTTCATTAATGTTAATGTAAAAAAATTTAATTTTGCACCAAAAGCATCTTAGAAAACTTACCTAACCTTATTATAACAAGAACAATTTATTTTAGCCTAACCTAACTAAATATATTTTAGATTTGTTTACAATAATTTAATACTAAACAAACACAATCAAATATATTTTTTTCGTTAGGTTCAGAATGATTTTGGCGAAATTATTCCATACACAAATTTTCACTTGTCCTATATGGCAAGATGAGCGTTGCTATTTAAGCCAAGTTCGCAAGTTCTGCCTATTCGGCACGACATTATATATATATATATATATATATATATATATATATATATATATATATATATATATATATATATATATATATATATATATATATATATATAATATATATATATAATCACAGTAAACAGGTGATATCACAGTATGCAAAATAGCCACTGGAACGCCAGACTCAAACGTTTCCAGCAGGTATATATGACAAAGATGGGGGAAGAAAAGGACTCACTTAAATCTTCCTCAGAACAGCTTACTGGTGATGACAAAAGATGGGTGTTGCATCTTAATCATTATTTCCTGTTTTAACACAGGAAAATACTAATTAAATCCAAGAAATTCTTAAGAGAGTATAAGAAAATACACGCGTCATAATTACAGTCACTAACGACATGGTTCTAGAACATGTCGTTAGTGACTGGTTCTAGAACATGTCGTTAGTGATTGGTTCTAGAACATGTCGTTAGTGACTGGTTCTAGAACATGTCGTTAGTGACTGGTTCTAGAACATGTCGTTAGTGACTGGTTCTAGAACATGTCGTTAGTGACTGGTTCTAGAACATGTCGTTAGTGACTGGTTCTAGAACATGTCGTTAGTGACTGGTTCTAGAACATGTCGTTAGTGACTGGTTCTAGAACATGTCGTTAGTGACTGGTTCTAGAACATGTATATAATAACCAAAGCAGTCCCATAATAAACCGGTTTTAATGGTTCTTGGAGAATGCAATGAGTATCTTAGTAAACCATTAGTCTTCGCAACTATTGCTTAGTCATCACAAAAGGTTGCGTGTCAGAGACGTGGAAGATAACCATTGCAATGCCTGTTTCCAAAACGTCAGATAATTCAGCGTAAAGGACTTATCAGCCTGGCCTTAATAACAGGTAAATTATCAATAATCGTAGAAGCAATCTGAAGTCACCTTGAAGGAAATTATTTGATAAAAAGTCTTGACATGGCTTACTGGAAGGTTGTTCTAATATTTATTTTGTTTATAAACCGCTAAAACAGTTTAGGTATCAACACCGCTTTAAACATATTCCATTTCTAGCATTATTAAATTTACACTACCATTAAATATTTGCTACTGTCGTAACCATATTCATTATAACAAAGTGAAACTCTTCAAAGTATTTTTCACATTCCACA